TAATACTTTAACCGAAACTTTTGAATATGTCTAGTAAGATAAAATATTCTGTAGTACAGGGAAGTCTTCGGAAGGAAGAGATGTGATAAGCACGTTCACCTAAATACAATAGCCTACAATTAAGTATTTAAATTAGTCTTAACAGATGATAAGACCTTTGATTTTTTCTGTTCGTTGTACTATGATTTATTTTGTCGAAGAAATGAAAGCTTAAGATAAATCCATATATGTAGCACATCAAGATAAGACAATTCTCTTTGAAAAAGACGTGTATTTGTTATCTATTGGTAAATATGTAATATCGTTTGAAATGTCAAAAAAATAAAAATGAAGAAAGAAAACCATTTTACAATCTTTATTACTTGTATTGTTGTTGTTCTCTCTCTACGATTTCGAGGTGAACTCGAGTAATCAAGATTGGACAAGTGATCTGGTGCAACTATAGTACAACAACAATTAATAGTTTTTATCCCAATTATTACTTCCTAGCTTAATAAATATAGATATAGATATACGTATATATCTATATAAATTACATACATAATACATAAATATACATATACATAAAAATATATAAGTATTAAAAAATATATATATAATTATACATAAATATTCATACTTCGTGTTATATCAGTAACAGCAAAACTATGCCGTCCTTTCCAAAGAGGATGGATAAAAGGTACGTATATATTTGCAAGAAAAACTATGGTATATTTTGTATATACTACTAGCATATCCATCAACGTTACATTAACAGGCAATATCTGACAGCTCATGAAGCACCATCAGCCAAGTAGTACCTACGTTAGAAAGAGATAGCATAAGCAAAGATCTTTAAAGACCGATGAATCTAATAGTATGAAAAACACCTAAGAATTAGTACTATGCTCGTGACAAATGATATTTGATACTCTTATACATCTTTAGAACTATTTTATCAATAATTCTAAAGATGTATAAGATTAATTTAATAAAAAAAAGGACGTACAAGAGAATTAATTACTACTAGAGAGGCAGTATCAGACTAAGAATTTATAAAAGGTTTTTTTTTATCCCACACACTTAATCACTTTATCTCAAGAGTCTGATGATCAGATTCTGACCTGCACTCTTTATCAAAACGCTATTACTTGCACTGATACATGATCGTGTTCTATATATGAAGCCTGTTTTGTTGTACCAAAACATAGGAGAGCATGTTTTTATAAAATAAGACTTTATGTCACGTGCGTAACAGATAATAGTACTGTTCGAAAATTATATGTCACGTGCGTAACAGATACGGAATAGATAAGAAACTAAATGATTATTTCATCCTAAAAGGCTTCAGTTTAAACATTATTACACGGCTATTTCACTCAAATGATTGATTCCAAAACTGTATTGTTTAATTATTTTTGGCTGATTATATTCCTTCATGTTCCTGAATAAGGGATAAATTAAATAGGGAAGCTACTCTTTCTTCTTCACACTTAATACAGAAAACGGAAAGTACAAGAGCGCCCTCTGCACACAATTACTAAACAAACACTCCTCATTCGAACAATGAACATCGAACCAAATGCCATTGATTTATCACTGAAATATCTTACGCTAAAATAAAGCTAATTGAAGTTTGGCTATTTTAAATTCAAAAATACAGTTTATTTTGCAGAAGTAAAAAATAGAAATGAATTTAAAAGTATTTTTTGGCATTTGACGGCACGACGCTTGATTAAGTGTAAAGCACTAAGTGTAGAATGATTTTGAAAATTTCTACTCATGATAAAAAAGCTTATAAAAAAATTATTGCCGATGGTTCTGTATTTTTCGCTTGCTGATCAACATGAACCGCTGCTTAACGACAATGAATGGCGATCAACGAACAATAGAAAACTTATTGCTCGTCCGAAACTAAGTTAAGTGAGCAGTGATATGACAAGATCGATGTATTTAATGAGACGTTTGACACTATCCTTCTACAAAAAACCAGTATTATTTAGAATACGAAGGTTACTATCCGTTATAATTCATACTTTATTTGTATAAAAACCAACATCTTTCTCGTTTTGAGAGAAATTATATTTGTTCCAATCTTCTATTTCTCCTTTTATTATATTTCTAGGCGTCGAGTAATTCTTCTTTCCGTTGCTACTGTGTTAATTTTGGTAACGACAAGTGTTGTACTTGGATTAGTATTTGGACTCAAAAAAAACAACGGTAAGATTATGAGTACAGCATAGCGAATGGAAATGCATTTAAAAGTGGTGACTGTTTCAGACAAAACAAGTCAGAATGCATCGTGTATATATTTTTTCAGTTATAATAGTGTCTTCTTACTAAGGCATTTTGTCTTCACATTTAATGTAGTAGAGTAGGTAAAAGGAAATCATAAACGTGATTTTCACACAAAATGTTCCTCCACTTTTTCAAACTCTTTTCCACTTATATTTCGAAACTACTTTTATGTTTACCTTTGATCCTTTTTCATCCTATGACACTGGATATTCACCCAAAGTTTTAGTTCAAAATGTTTTGCCATTCTGGAAAAAAATGAGTTTTACCGTCATAATGTCTGCCACCTTAAAATAGCTGATAACTATGAAAATGCAGTTACATCAAACTTATTATTATTAGATTTACCGTCGGAAAGTAAATTTGTCTATGTACCGAAGAAATCTTTAATGCAGAATTGGAATTTTTTCTATCAGCTAGTCATACACAAAATCTCATTTCTTTGTTTCTTATAAACTAATAACGACCTTTAATTGGATTGAAAGCAATCCCGTCAAAAATGCCGTGTCAAAATCTATATATCAGTGTATAAAGATCAATGTTCCGATTAATGGCTTTATGTGCACATAGCCTGGGGATTTCAAACATTGTATCTGCTGAGTTAGCTTTATAGAGTAAGTGTACCAAAATAGTAAAAAAAATTTTCTTAAAAGTTTTCTCAATTATTTCAGTGTGAAGGAGTAAGACGTTTGATGATATCTTCACAATATCGAGTAGATCAGATATCGATCTCCTGAGGCGAATGGTGAAAAGAATTTTATTCTTAAATGAAAGATGAGCGACGTATGATCAGTAGCCTGAGGGTAGATCGAACCGTCCTATTCAGGCACATTCTCTAACAACCGTAGGGATAGTATAGAATAGACTTTGAACTTCGCTGAAAATGTACAAAATGAATTAAAACAACTCCTTAATATCACTTTTATAATTTGAAATTGTGAATCAACGCTGTGCAGTTCAATACAGTCTATGAATTTCATCTCTTGTTAAGATTATTTATTCAGCCATCTGCATCAGTGTGCAAGTCAAAATTTTTCAATACTGCCGGGTGGAATGTTGCCCTTTCACTTAGACTCGCTATCCACTTGTCCACCTACATTATGGATGAGGTATGTAAGAAAAAGCCTGATTCATTGTTCAATAAATGGATAATACAAAAAACAAAAATATTTATACATGTGATAGAAGATCGTAAGGAGATGGTACTAAAATCTATTGACTATATTTAACTGCACAGCATTGATTTATAATTTCAATTTATTAAAGGATTGTTTTTAATTCATTCTGCACATATTTAGAGAAGTTCAAAGCTTATTTTGCATTATCTTCATAACATATACAACGATCATCCTTTAAAATGAGAGGACAAGCAAGAAATGCACATTTATATATGGCGATGATCAGTCTGGCCGGAAGACCTTTTGGGGCATCCGGGAGAATTGCTATAAATCAGTTATCACGATTCTCTCAGAGCTGTAAAACATCTAATTTTGTAGAAAAATGTTTGCTCTACAAAATGCATTTGTTAAAAGAATTCCAGAATCATTTCTAAGAAAACTCGGAGTATTCGAAAAATACATTAAATCACGGAAAAAAACTGTCCGAACAGTTTTTTTTTTCGTAATTTAGTACATTTTAGAATGCTCTAAGTTTTCTTAGAAATGATTCTGGAATTCTTTTAACAAATGCATTTTGTAGAACAAACATTTTTCTACAAAATTAGATGTTTTACAGCTCTGAGAAAATCGTGATAACTGATTTATAGCAATTCTCCCGGATGCCCCAAAAGGTCTTCCGGCCAGACTGGTCATCGCCATATGCATAACGCGGGGCTATTGAGTACAGATTAGTATGTACGAGTAGAGATGTAACCCGGTGAAAAAACGGCAGCCACTGGCGACGTATTCCTAAAAATTTTTCGACGCCTTCAGCTGGGTGATCCTTCAAAACGAGAAATAATGCAAAAATTATAAAAGTACTGTTTTATTCCCTTATATTCAGTACGATCACAGCTAACTACTATCTAATTTCATATAAAAAAAGAAAAATACGTAGAACTAAGACACACAATAACAAGAGTAACGACAAAACGGCTAGTAAGAAAATATTACCAGTACTACTTCTCGTAGAATCAAAAGAGGGAAAAAGCGAACGGCTGGTTACCGGCTTCACCCATCGAGCCTTTCGGCGACGGCGTCTTAAAATTTCGCATTCGGCGCGGCTCAGTCGATCGGCTTACATTTCTATGTACGAGTAATATATAAATGAAAGAACAGAAGAAACATTGTCTAGATGGATATTCGTGAGCAAGAAATATCACACGATCTTGCTTTCTTGGGGGATATACATTGCACTGATATGTTGTATAATATGTGCAAGTGTACATTTTTGGATAAGATAGTTAATCTCTGACTATCACACTACATACAGTATATAAGTGAAAAAGGACAGAAAAAAAGGGAGGTAAACATGAGAAGATACTAAAAAGGGAGAAACGGAAGTAATAGATAACCGATAGGCGTAATCAGTGCAAATCTCGTCTGAATGTTTTTCCAAATGTCCTTTTTCCGATTGCTCTTTCGTTCAGTTGACTTTCGACTCATTGTGCATCATAGTTGTTGTCTGGTTAAGTTATAAAATATATATATACTCGAATTTTTGTGAAGATAAGATAAAATAGTTTACATAATTTAATAGTGTTTAAAAATATAAATTCTCAAATGAGTATGTTTGCGTTATTGGTGCTATTATCTTTATTAATTCAAGGCTCAAATGGTGGTGGAGAAGGAGGTATTTGTGGAACAAGTCACGAAACATACGTGATTAATGGATCGTCTGTTCTTGGACAGTATAAAAGCGCAGCTGTTGCTGTTGATAGTGGCGATTGCTCGACAGTTGGAAAGTACGATAGTTTCACTTTGACCATCATTTTTTATCTGTGATCCTGGTCGTTTATTTTTCTAGAGAAATATTGCAAAAAAATGGCACGACTGTTGATGCAGCAATTGCAGCAGCCATTTGTAATGGTTTGATAAATGGACATTCAATGGGCATTGGTGGCGGATGCATAATGGTCATTTATTCAAAGTACGTATTCAAATAGAGATCGTGTATTTCTATTGTCCTTATTTATTCCGAGCAGATTGTATGTTCTTCCTATAGTTCATAATTCTCTATAATATATTTCTACTTTAGAAAAAGGAACAAAGTGTACAGCATTGTAGCGGTAAGTAAAATATTTAATTATCTATGCTAGATAGACAAATATCTATTTCTTATTTTTAGAGAGAAAAGGCACCATTTGCAGCCAATTCAACCATGTTTGTTGGACGAGCAAATATGTCCCAGTATGGTAAGTATGTTTGTTAACAAACGATGATGTAGACAAGTGTTTAAAGAAAAACTATATAGGAGTCAATAGGGATTTTGGTCAAATGTTCGGTTTTATTCATTAACTAGTCATTCTTTATCTTGTTTTTCAATTCTTGAGTAGGGAGTATGTTCTCTCTTCTCTATTTCTAAGCCTACGTTTCCATTTTTTAATTGGTGAGGTGAAGATAATTAACAAAAATTAAAGAATTTTCTTGCTATTATTTTCCATTTATAGGACCGTTAGCTATTGGCACGCCCGGAGAAATCGCTGGATATAGAAAAGCATGGGAAGAATTTGGCCAAGGTAAAAAATCCGTTTCTATCGATTGTTGTTGATATAGCGTTGAATATTTTCTTGGCGTAGGAGTAGCATGGAGAGAATTGTTTCTGCCAACAATAAAGCTTTGTAGAGACGGTAAGTTAATCTAAAATAATTCAACCAATAGAAGTTTTATCATTAATTCTTTAGGCTATCTTGTTACTTCAAGTCACGCAGGAGCTATTCAAGAGAGGAGAAAAGAGATTTTAAATGATCCACTTCTAAGGTAAGTAGTAAAAATAGTAGCGCTACATGTTCATATAGATTTTAATTATTATCAGAGCAGTATTTGTCAAAAATCTAACAACGTTAGAATTGTATGGCCAAGGTGATAAAATAAAACGGCCTCAACTGGCAGATACACTGCAGGCTATAGCCGATAATGGTTCTGAAGCGTTCTATACTGGTGAACTCAGTGACAAAATTGTAGAAGAAATCAAGGAAAAGGGTATGGTAATAAAGTATCTAATAACAACTTATCAATATATATTTTTTATAGGTGGAATTATAACCAAAGAAGATTTGAAAAATTATACAGTTCACTTCGACGAAGCACTCGCAGTTAAACTCAATGATTCCTTAACAGCGTATACAACTCATGCTCCATCGAGTGGTCCACTTCTCGTGTTTATATTGAACATATTACAAGGTTAACATGCGTGATTTCTAATCTGGAATGCGCTACATAATTTTTGACTCGTTGGCTAGTAAGTTTGTTTTTTATATTTAAGGATATAAAGTTCAGCCAGATGAATCACAAAGAACAGATACGAATGCCTTATTTTATCATCGTTTGGTTGAAGCGTTTAAATTTGCATATGCAGCTAGAAGTGAACTGGGAGATCCATTCCATGTGGACGTGCAACAAGTATGCGTTGAGGAAGAATTACTGCTATAATTCTATTTTAATAGAGCGTTATTTACTCATAGTTAATCAAGAATTTAACATCAGAATCTTATGCGACTGACATACGAAAGAGAATAAAGTAAGGTCTAACGAGTTTCTGGTCTAAAGTATAACGGTGTGGTCTAAGTATAATCTGTTTCTTTTATTGTTTATTTACTTAGCGATGATAAAACATACTCATTCGAATAGTAAGTCTTATACAATTTAAAACATAATGTTTATAAATTTTCTCGATATTCCAGTTATGGAGGAACATGGTTGGATAAATACAAACAAGGTACGGCTCATATGTCTCTTGTCGGACCTGACGGAGATGCAGTTGGCTTGACATCAACGATTAATCTCTAGTGCGTAATATATATCGTGAGTAATCATGTGATTAAGCTTGATTTTTTTATTCAGTTTTGGCTCAAAAGTTATTGGTAGACTAACAGGTATTATTTATAACAACGAAATGGATGACTTCAGTACCCCAAATGAAACAAACTATTTCGATGTACCAGCATCACCGGCCAATTACATTGCTCCTGGAAAACGCCCGGTATCATCCATGTCACCATTAATTGTACTTGATCATCTTCAACGACCACAATTAGTTATGGGAGCATCAGGTACGTGATTTTTCTCATTTTTTTATTGCTGATTACATACTTCTCTTGTTTCATCTAATGAATTACATGATTTTATTTTTTACTTATGGTGTAGGAGGAACAAAAATCACAACCACATTGGCTCAAGTAATGCATGAAAAACAATAATTTATATTGATGCTCAGTTTCTAATCGAATCTTTTTTTCTCCTTAAAGGTCGCAATGCAAAACTTATGGTTCAATCACAATATAAAAGAGGCAATTGATGCTCCGAGAGTACATCATCAGCTGTTACCACAAGAACTTCTTGCCGAAGAGGGCTTTGATAAAGTAGGCCATTTATTCTTAGTTACAATAATATTATTAGAGATTTTTCACGTTTATCTAAACTGTTGGTTATAATTTGTAAATAGATACTAAAATGTTTTTTGTTTTTAGAAAGTTCTTGCTCTATTACGCCAACGAGGTCATAACATTACCTGTGTTCAATTTGGCGGATCCGTTGTTCAAGGTAAGCATAAAAGTACTCATTTGCCTCTTTGTATTTTGTTTCTACCTTGTATGTTCATCATAGGAATTGAATGGCGAGATGACGCATCGCAATTCTGGGCGAATTGTGATGTTCGAAAAGGTGGTTCGCCTGACGGCTTTTGAATATTCGGTGGCCGTCAATTGTTTTTTCTCTTTTTTGAATTTTTTGTACAAAAGCTTATGTCGCGTCGCATAGTAGTCTATTTCACTTGTTGTTATTAATGCTATTATTTGTTATTGGTGTTGCTTTTACTTTCTTATTTTTTGTGAATATATGCACTTATTTTTCATGGAACAAACGCACATGCTTTTATTTTTAAATCTCTGTTGTTTCTAGAAAACAATGATATACATTGCCTTTTGTGATAAATTAGTCAAATTCAATTGCGGTGCTAGGAACGTTGTCTAGCACCAGTTAGGTACACTATTAACACGTATAATTTAGAAACTTTGTGTAAGTGACATTATATATTTACGCTGCAGATAATTTACATTATATTACTTAATGAACAATCTCCAATGTCACTATTATTACTATACTTGTCTGAATCATAGCTGTGAATAAGCAGTCTATCATAGAAATAATACACAATCCAATGAGTGTCAAAATTTGTCCTTCGATTTTTTAGACTAAATTATGTAATTATACCATGACAAGTATTATTAAATGAATTTTTTTGATATACATGAGTGTCTCAATTATCCGACAATGCTTCATGTTTAATACCGAATTCAGAATAAAACTGCTTAACGTTATATAAGAGAGATAATATACATGCAAACGTCCAGCCCTATTGTTCTGCCTCTCTTGAGAGACGAACAAGTTTTGAACGAGCACAGTCTGTTGTAGAATAACCTATGTTAGAATCATTTGCAACCGACAACATTTCATGGAAAGCTGCTTGAAAAACACCAGTTTCGATCCTTGCAATGACATGTTGACTTGAATATAATAGTACTGCTTACAAGAAACCTAATTATGATATGCAGACGTATTTTTTCCATATTCAAACAAAAGAATTTACAATACCGTGATTTCAAATACTATAAACTTTCATCACCCAATGAAACCAGTTCACAAAGTATATATTAACCCTTTACACCCCAAGAAACTTTTATTATAGCTTCAGCTGAAAAAACTGCATTAAAATGCAAAATTTATCTTTTTATTTCAGTCAAACGTTAAGTTATTGATCGTCTTAGATTAGAAAAAAACTTATCTTCTGGCCTGACGATCCATTCTTTTTATACACCTATTACATCCAGCGGAGTGAAAAGGATTAAGCTACAACGTGCAACTACTTGGATAATAATAACTTGGTGAGTACATGGAGTTTTACTGAGACAAATACTTGACCAGGTACATGTCAAGTTAAATATCAACCACTTACACGCTAGGTCAATATTAGCATCTGTATTTACTATTAGACATACACGAATACTGGCTGCATTACACGAGCAAAGTACTGC